GGCACTGCCAATAAATATTGACTATTAAAAAGGATATAAATCATTGTGTTGAAACATTTTAAAAAAAATCTAATTTACATCCTTGTGTATACTGCATTTATGCTAAAGGGCTTTTTTTTCATGTCCTACATGTTTCTTGGTAAAATAACTTTAAATGCTGCTAAGAGTATGAATAACTTTGGGCTTCACTATACTTTGACATGTATTCCCAGGTATCTGAAAAGAGTTAATCACAAAGGTTTCATGGTGACGTGTGGAATAAAAATATTTTACATGAATCAAGGCATTTTCAACAGTCTTTATAAAAAAGTAAAATGTCTGCAAGAAGACTTCTGAGCATCTGATATTACCACCCTACTGTCAAAAGACAAAAGTCTTAAACATACAGCTTCCAACCGGACCAAGAATTTAAATGTTTAAAATAGGCCAGTGGATATGTGACAAATTAAGAATGCACATATTAATATGCTTCTGAGAAACTGAAGACCTTCCCCATATAGGGCCAACTCACAAGTGAATGTAAACTGTGTCACAAAGCTGACAGACTCAGATGGCAGCAGAGCTTTGTGTAAATAACCCAGGTCAGTTTTAAACCTTCTACAGGAAAAAAAAAAATAATACTCTTTATTCCAGTTTGCAAACACTGCCATATGAAGATAATATTCCAGAGAGAGCTTACTTTTCTTACATAATCTCATAACATTTTGGAGCCAGCGCCACACATAAACTGAACCAACTTTATGGGGATAAATTGTCATCAGTTGTGATGGAACAAAACGAAATGCTCAGTGATTCAAGTTTTCTAAAAACAAACAAAAAACCTAAAATAGATGCTTAGTTTAAGTTATCTAAAACTGGGTTGTGAGGAGTATTTTGGAGTTGACAGTATCTTATCTTATTCTATCTATCTTCAGAAATCTTCATTTCTAAGTTCCAAGGCCTAATTTATTTTCATCTTTTATTGTTTGCCATCATCAAACCAAGATGAACTAGCTTCCCACCAGCGCTAAAACACAGCTGGTGTTAGCAATTAGCATTGCTTAGGTCACAAAAAATTCAGTATATGTCAATCTATTTTTGGATGTATTTAACTATTTTAGTACATAAAGGTTTTTCAGCCTGAAAAACGTTTGCCTATATATATATATATATATGACCAAAGGCTAGAATCCACAAATAAAATAATAATTTGTTTACTTCGAGTTTGTAAAATTGTTTCACAGGTTCATTGCTTTATATCTGCATATGTACTACAAAAACATTTGCAAATATGCAAAAATTGTTGAAGATGTTTCTAAATAAGTTAGCTCACATTTATGACACAAATTAGACAAATTTTGCTCTACCTTTTTTTTTTTTTTAGTTTTATTTTGTAAGGGTCAATGCAAGATCTTACTAAATCTGCATCCTAAAAGTCGTCACCATGATCTTCATTACAGAAACACGTCAGCAGACCGGTGTGTTAACAAATCATACTAATTTAATTTAACTTGGCACAGAAAAGACAGGGCATCTTTTAAATGTGTCTGTAAACAGTCATAAACAAGCATGATAATTACAGTAGAAATCAAAAGGTACTATAAATGACAGATGGATTTTGTACATATTTACCAGAGGGCTTGTCTATCTAAATAATCCAGCCTTGACAGGGAGCTTTCCCAGGCACAGATTAGGCTGTCTGTACAGACCGACGTTCAAGTTAAGTCCTAAGTTGAGCTGTACATGTGTAGGACATTTCTACGCGATGTATATACTACAGGGAGATCGTAACCCAACCGGTTTACTGTAAAACACACTTCAGTGACTTTTCTGCTAAAACTGTTTTGTTGGTTGTTGTTTTTTTTTTTTCCAGAGAGCTCCTGGGTCTCAATATGTCCTGGGTTCACATTTCAAACTCGTTATATTTTAACAACACAACAGCACATGATATAAATATTCACCTTAATCAGAGGGAACGACGAACCTTTTGAAGTTTTGTGATGCTCAAAGTATGTGGAGAGTGATTGCTGAGAATGAGAAACAAATACACTTTATTGCTGAAAGTATTGGGTCACCCAGCCCAGTCGGTGAGCTCTGATGTTTCAGTCGACTCTTTGCTCGTAGGAGTGTTAAACCCAGCATCAAGGCATTGAGACTGCTTCTGCAAACAACTGGGAAATTCACAAGGGTGGCGTGACTCCAAACAACTGCAACTCAGGCACAAAATCTGTGTGTATTGTGTTTTTTTCAGGAGTTTGGGTCAACCTCCTAATACCATTTAAATTAATCTTTAATACTCCACCCAAACGAGAGTTTCAGATGGCCAACTTCATAGGAATGGTTTGGAAATGGCAAGATGATTGTTGGGATTCACAAAGCAAGGTATGGAGCTACTTAAACTGTGACATAATGGTAAAGCAGATGAGAAAGTAAGAGGCAGGCAGGTGAAAAATAAATAGTTTCTTTCTTTTTTCTTAGGAAATTTACAAACAAGAAACAAACCAGCCTGGTGTCAGTTACAGAGGACCTGACTCAGAATGAGAAAAAACAAGAACTATTTATGGTGGGGTGTTTGATTACTGGAAAACAAGACAGATGAGTCAATGAGCAGACGAGCTATGGACAGCAGAGAGCCGAGGCACTGAGGGATGGTGCTGGATAAATAGACATTGAACGCCAATAGAAGGCAAACCAAGGAATAGACAGAAATTCAAAATACAGAGAATCAGGGAAACCAACATAAAAACAAGCGAAATATGCAGAACAGAAAGCATGAAGAATCTGAAAGCTAAAGAATCACAATAAACCCACAAAACCAGAGCAAACCAAAAACAAATTGTGACATCGGTGAATGAGTGTGGTGTGGAAAAATTGGTTACTTCCACCAACATCCAACTTCACAAATAAAGTGAAGTTGCAAAGAGCATGAGCCAGGCCTTCTCCTCCAACATCAGTGTCTGATCTCACTGATGCTCTTTTGAAAGAATGATTTAAAAAATACTGTAAACACACCCCTAAACTTTGAGGAAGGCTTTCCCAGAAAAGTTCGAGCTTTTCCAGCTACAGAGAAAGGGTCAATATCATAACAATCGCTGTGACATAAGCGAGATGCCTCTCAAGTTCATATTTTTAGGTGACAAGTGACTAAATACCTTAGGCAATATAGTGTACTTCTTTACATATTTGTTTTCTAATATTGTTTTCTGTAAAAACCTCTTGAACACCAAAAATAATCAGGCAGCTTCAAGACATGATCATGCATGTGGAAAATACTAAAGCTCTCAAGCACAGAAAATACAATAACAATGTTTCTACAGACGAAACATGATGGGAACAATAAGTGGGCTAGAAATAAACAACACCGCGGCTGTGAACTCTGCTCAAGCGTCCGTGTATGGCAGTATGACAACAATTTGTCACAAATTTCATCATCAAAGGAAAGAAGGCAACACATCTCCAGCTCTGTGTACAAAACAAATGGCTTAAATTAGCTCTCTGCCACGCCATCAAGAGTGGCGGTCCAGCACAGAGGCGCGGAGGTTGGACAAACATTTGGCTTGCTTCACGTGGCAGCATCACTGGGACATGGCGGCTTCGCCGGTCGTTGTAGACGGCGAGCAAAGCAGATGAAATGAAATTTTCAGCCGTCTCGATGACTCCGTCTTGTTGAAACTTAAACATTTCAGTTGTCAGCTTTTCCTTGACTTCACGCCGGGTCCATATAGTACACGCTGGATTGTGCCCAGATCCTGAGACAAAACATCTCTCATCAGTTTTACAAGCTTATACATTGTTTTCACATTTTAACAGAAAGATAGAGCTGCGTAATGCCCACAAGTCATGTAGAAACTCTTACTGTAAACAGGGAAAAACAGGACTGGCTGCTCGACCACTGAAATTTCTCCTCCCACAACTATGCACTGTAAAGACTCAACAGCAACCCACCAAATAAACCTGAACATAAAACTAAAATACATTCATCTTATTACATGTGTATATGCTACCTCTATTTTTCACTTCCACAAAATGCACTTAATCAGATTTTTTTGGAGACATTTGGACATGTTGGATAGACTTCTCACCGTATTTTTGTTCTTTAACAAAACGCTTGTTTGGGAAGGAGCTGCAACACATGGATTTGGGCGCATTGGGCTACGTATGTTTGGGTCTCCCTCTGCTTTTCGCCTTTTTTTTTTGTCACATTCTTTATTAAGAGCACACACATGGAAACAGACATTCAGGTCCACACGTCTAGATTCCCTTCGGCTACTACAGACACGCACGGACATGTGAAGACGGACACAGGCGTCCAGATGAACAGCGGTGTTGCTCAGTCCTGGCTGTAATGCTACGGTGCTGAGAATGTGAGGTTCTCTGAGCCACAGAGGAGATAAACCCGCTCCCTCCGGTACTGTGCAGCCGCCCCGGCGTGCCCCAAAGCACTGTGCATCGTTTACATCTTTGTCTCTTGAGTTTTAGCAGCGGTCATCCTCATCTGTGTCACTTAGCAGCTCGCTGTTGTCAGTCGGGCTCCCCTGGACCAAGTGCTTCCGGACATGACCATTGGGAACCTGCCAGGAGTGTCTGAGCTGAGGGGCGGAGCTTATGGCGTTGGCCCGTCCCAGACTGGTGGCCATGGCAGACTCGAAGGTCAGTGTTTCCTGCCTGTCACCTGAATCATCACCGCTGAAGTCCTCATGGAACGGGAGATAGGGCTCTGATATGTAGCGGTGAGGCGATGGGTGGCTTGGTCCTGAAATCTGACCTCCAGATGAACAGTGACCCGCCGACAGGGGTCTGCTCTCCTTCTCAGCCCGCCATGAGGTCTCTGTGGAGCCACCGGCGGCGTCCTGAGGCTGGTACTGCCCTTCAGAGGAGAGGGGAGCAGCAGTGGGAGAGGTTGATGGTTTGCAGACGAGAGGAGAGTATGAGATATAAGGCCGCGGACGAGAAGGCGTCTGAGGCAGCTGGCGGCGGTTACGAGGGGTACTGGACTCTGAGGCCGAGTTTGCTGGGCTTCCTGTCGCTATTTCCTGTAAGAGACATACAAGAGAAGTGGCAGAGAGAGTGCATTCGGCCCTTTTTAGTCTGCTTCAATCAAACTCTAGGTTAATTGCCTATGAAGTTTGATTCGTTTGATTTAGTGTGAATGTGAAATTAGACCCCGATGAGGATCAGAGAAACCAACTTTGGTCCTTCTAAAAAACCTAGTACTTTATTCAGTTTGGTTGAAGTGAACTCTGCGTTTGTGAATGTCAAGCGGACCAGAGACTGCTCCTATAGCGCAGGGCATTCTGGGTAAATACAACTGAAATTCACCTGTGTCTAGCGATGCTAGGAAAAATGGGTTGTGGTATCTTGCCAAAAACAAAAGATAAATCGTACAATCGCTAAAATCTCACACCACTTCATTTTTGTTCACACTTTGTGAAGAAGAAGGAAGTTGTGCTTCAGAGGTTTTTCTGCTGCTTTCTTCTTGGTGTAGCGCCACCACAGGTCGGGGGGGGGGGGGGGGGGTTTTTAAGGGTTTGGTTTTTTTTTTTTTTGGGGGAGAAAAAAAAAAAAATA